TGATGGCTGTTCTCCAGCAGCTTCTCAGTGTCGTTCCCAGGGCATCAGGAAATGTTGCTTCCCATTGGCTGTCGGGGCTCTCCAACGCTTCCCATTGGCTGTTTTTCGATCCCCCCCGTCTTGGCTCTGCCGTGTGGATGTGAAATGATATATGGGGGGCTCGTGGGTCTGGTTGCCTTCCTCACTTCTGGGTGGTTTGTTCTTCCCGAACTGGGCAAAACCGATTTTTGGACTTTTTGTGCCGGAACTCTGTCCCCTCCTCCACTCGGGCAAAGGGATTTGGGGCCGTTTTTTCCCCCTTTTCGGAGGGAAATCGGGTGCGTTTGTGCGCCGCGGCTGGCAGGGGATGCGCAAGAGCCGGGAATTCCCGCGGACATTCCCGCGGACGTTCCCGTGGACATTCCCGTGGACATTCCCACGGTCCTGTCCGGGCACGGGGCAAGCGGCCCCCGCACTTTTGCCCCCCCAAAACCAACTGTGGGGGCAGTCTCAGAAACCAGGACTTGGTCCCTTGAGCACTTGGAGCTGCACGAGGGGGGCAAAGGATCCCCCGGTGCCCCCCCCAGAACGGGGCCGTGTCCTGTCCGATGGGGCTGAGGGGGACAAAGGGGGTGTCAGACAAGTGGGGAAAAAAAACCCTAAATGACCGGGGGGTGTCAGCTCCTCCTGCCCTGCCTGGTTCTGACCCTTCCATGGCTGCAGCATTTCTGCCACCACCCCATCCCTGAGAGATGCTTCTTGGGGAAGCAACACCAAATACCACCTGTCACGTTTTAACCTCACCCCCTAAAAACCTCAATCAGAGGCTTTTTGAGTTAATTTAATAAATTAATTTGATTAATTTAATAATTTTCTACCATTCGACCCAACCCTGTGCATGTTCCTGCACCTCCAGGTGAGCCCCCCCCTCCTCCTCCTGGCTGGGGACAGGACCCCTTTCCCCAGGCACAGGGGAGGCTGCAGAATACAGAGATATGTTTAAAAAAAAACCCAAAGAAACATAAAAGGCCCGGTTGGTGCCATTTCCTGGGACCGGACGCGCGTTGGTCACGAGGTGAGAAGGTGTCCGAGGCTGGTGTCGCTCTCGGGACACGCCAACGACCTCCAGAGCCACCATGGCTGGGGAAATGGGTCATGCCAATCTAAGACATCCTGGGAATGAGCCTTCCCCGGCTGAGAAATGTCCTGGTGAGTGTATTTTGGGGGGAAAAAGGCTTATTTCAGGCCCTGGGAAGAGTTTTGGGTCTGTTACCTTTGGGGTCCCTTCGATTCTCCATCCCCGCGTTCAGGTTTCCAAGCTCACGGAGTGGCCTTTGAAATGGGGTCTGGGCTTGTCTAGAGCAAGACAGGGACAGGAGAGGCTGGAAAATCTCCAGAACTGGAAGAGTTTTGTTTCCCAGACCCTTCACTTGGTGGCCAAAAGGGACCCCAGGAAGCCCCAGGGGAGCCACCACCCCTGAGAGGGCAGGGAAGGGGCTGAGCCCCGTCCGGACCCCGGAGGAGTCGAGGGCTGGAGGGACCTGTGACCACCAACTCCCAGCTGGAAACTGAGCCCGTTTGGGAGTTCCCAGGTCCTGCCCTCTGGCACTGGGTCCTCGAGGCTGCTCCTGAGGCTGCTGCACCCCCTGAGCCCCCCAGTCTCCCCCGGGGGTGCTGCCCTGGCTCAAACCCTGTCAGGGAGGAACTTATGGCTTTGGAGGAAGCAAAGCAACCAGAAACTTCTGCTCGAACTCACAGCTCAGCAGAGGGGTTTTTTTTTTACTCCGAACCCCCAATCTTCATGTTTTTCTAAGCTTAAATGTGACCTCTTCCAGCTCCTGCCCTGTGCCCGTGGTGGCACAGAGTCCTCCTCACAGCCGGGGCGCTGGGGCACCTCGTCCTGCTGGTGCTGGTGGTGCTCTGAAATGTGAGTGGTGAGTAACCAGCTCTTATCTCCATCTCACACCCTGACCAGAGGCCTGGTAGAGGAAATCTGGGTTTGTTGCAGCAGTTCAGGCCCTGGAGGGTTGGTGCAGACACGAGAGCCAAGAGCAAAACCCCCTCTGGGCACACCTTTGGTGCCTTTCATTTGGGGGGTCAGGGAAGACCTTGCCCACCTTTGGGGGGTCTCATTCGTGACCTTTCCTCCTCTCCAGCTCCTGCTGGCTGCAAGCTGGCTGCCAACTCCTGCTGGCTGCCCCCAGGACTGGCAGCTCCGTGGGGAGAGATGCTACTGGCTCTCCAAGGAATCGGGAAACTGGAGTCGGGGCAGGAAAAACTGCAAAGATCAGGGCTCTGAACTGGTGGTGCTCAAGAACGAGACAAATGGTAAACAGGGAGGAAAAGGTTTGGAAAGGACCCTAAAGTCCTGGGGTTTTAGGGGGGCAGGGGAGCAAAAGGCTCCCAGCAGCAGGAGAGTTTGGGGTTCAGAGCACGGGGCCGCTCGTGTCCCATGGATTTGGGGGGTCAGGTTTCTGCTGTGGCTTTGCACCCCATGGAACTCCCCATGGAGAGATTTTTTTGGAGCAACTGGTCCCTTCCACGTCCCAGGAGAACGTCGAGAGTGTCACAGGCAGGCACCCGTGGTCGGTGTGGGTCGGGTTGAGGTCACAGCAGAAGGAGTGGACGTGGGTGGACGACACCCCCTACGACCCCCACAGGTGAGTGTCTGAGGTCTGGGGGGTAAAAAGCGGCTTTGATTCATTTGAGACCCCGATCCACGTCCACACATTGCTGGGGTCCATGCAAGGGTCTCTTATTCCTCTGGCAACACTCTGCAGACCAAGAGTCTGGGTCCTGGGGCACACTGGGGGCATGGGGCATGTTGGGGTTGGTTATGGGGTATTTGGGGTCACAGGGCACATTGGGATTGGTTATGGGGTATTTGGGGTCTTAGGGCACGTTGGGCTTGGTTATGGGGCAATAAACCCTTTGTCGTGCCGGTTTGGGGTCCTGCGGGAGCTGGATGAAGGGTGTGGGACCCTGAAAGGCAAGAGCTTGGATGTTGATGTCTGTGCCAGTGACCACAAGTGGCTTTGCCAAAAAGCCCCTTTCCAGCTCTCCCCGGCCACGGCAGGAGACGTTGGGAAGTTGGGATGATGCTTCCACCTGACACACTCGAGCAACGGACCCCGTGTGGTATAACAAAATCATTTATTACAGTTCTTTCATGGTTTATACACCCCATTACATCAGCAGTAAATTCCAGTCAGTAGCTTTTCTCTATATCCACTTTTTAGCTAAACATTCTCTACCCATGAGAAAAACACTCCCAAGCAATTTCATGCACACACGGATACATCTCACCACGTCTATATTCAGATTGCGAAGTTCCCCTTAAGTTTCTCCCAGAGTCACATAATCTCAGTCCCTACACTTAAATGTTATTTTTATGCTTTTACATTACTATAGATGACAATAAGCCAAGCGGCTCCATCCCTGCTTTCCTTTGCAACCAAACTGTCCTAAAATAAACACACATATTCCAACACCCGTCCCTTCCGTGTCTTCACTCTAAACCCACCCCACAGGATCCAAGAGTGATGGGTCAAACAGCCAAATAGTCCCGTCCTCAATGGGTGTCACCGACAGGTGGAAATGGTGGTTCTGTGAGTGCGACTCTGTGAGGGCAGTTCTGTGAGGGCGTTTTGCCATCTTGGCTCCCTCAGGGTGAACGTGCCCACCGCGGCACCCGCAGACATTTCCTCGGGCCTTTCCCCGCTCAGCACGGGGCGAGCGGACCCCGCAGCTCCCGCCCCGACCAGGACACAGGGACAGCGGTGGGGTCATACAAACTTTAATGCAAATGGAATAAAAGGAGAAGAAGAGAGAAGCACAGCGGCAGCACTGATACAGTAACTCTGCTGAGGCCACAATCAGGACATTGTACATTCACATTCACAGTTTCATATAGCTTTCAGCAATGGAAAAATACTTCACATGTGCACATTCAAGCACTATAGTGCTTGAATATAGTGCATACAGTGTTATGGATGTAGACTCCTAGCGTGTAAATATAAAGTAAATATAACTAGAGGATGAGGAAGACTTCTGGAGAAAGAAACCCCTAGTCCACGAAGGCACAAATCCACTTTCACATCATGTCCCTGCAGGTTCACCTCCTTGAGACCAGCTACTGAGGTGAAAATGACAAAAGGCACCGAGGTTACTGAGGTTGTGCTGAGAAGAAACCCCCCCCGTCCTGTTCCAGCGCTGCGCCGCTCCATCCCCCCCTCCTGAGTCTCCCTTTCCAGGGAGAAACAGATGGGGGGGATGGAGGGGATGGACAGGGGGAAAACGGGACACTAGGGAAAAAAATTCCAACATCTCTCTTCAAACCCAGGACAATATTAAACAGGGCAATATTAAACAGGACTGGGCCCAACGCTGATCCCTGGGGGACACCACTGGTGACCGGATCCCAAATGGATGCAGCTCCATTCCCACCACTCTCTGGGCCCGACATTCCAGCCAGTTCCTAACCCAGCACAGAGGGCCCTGTCCAGGCCATGGGCTGCAGCTTTTCCAGGAATGTGCCCTGGGAGACAGTGACCAAGGCTTTGCTGGAGGACCTTCAAGGTCCCTCTGGATGCCGACCCCAGGGAACAGCTGGAGCTGTGCCAGGGCAGGGTCAGGTTGGGTCTCAGGAAAAGAATCTTCCTCCAGAGGCTGGTTGGGCACTGCCCAGGCTCCCCAGGGCAGTGGGCACAGCCCCAAGGCTACCAGAGCTCCAGGAGGGTTTGGATGATCCTCTGGGGCACAGGGGGTGACTCCTGGGGATGGGCCTGGGCAGGGCTGAGGGTTGGACTTGACGATCCTTGTCAGGTCCCTTCCAATACAAGATATTTTTGAGATATTCAGCGAAAATTTCCCAGCCAGACAACTGAGATGTTCCCCCAGCAGTTTCAGTTGCAGTGCTGGCGTGGAGCTCCCTCATCTGGCCGGAGATTTAGGTTGAAAGTCCCAGTTTGGGGTCTCTTAATTTCCCCTCCCACAGGACGAAGTTGTCAGGGCGGCTGCAGATCCAGTTCTTCTCCGTGTGGCACAGGGACGAGCTGATCCACCAATAGTACAGGTACCCACAGGGTCCCTCACCCCGCACCTCAAACCTGCAAATGGCAACGGGACCAGAGTCAGAAAGGGAAAAGGAAAAGAAGGAAACTCCCCCTCAAAAAGAAATTAAGAAGAGTTGGGATTTCCCCTCCGGCAGAGAAGAGCTTTGGCTGGGGGGGGGTCTCTAATTCTCTGATCAGGGTTGGGGGGCAGCGACCTCGGCCCATCCCAACCCCCCATGGAAAGACAGGAGCTGCCTGGACACGGGGCAGGAGAAGGTGCCCATCCCAGGATGGGGCATCCCAGACTCCAGGAAATCCCTGGGGCCCACCCCGGGGCTCCAGCACGGACACAGGGACCCACCTGCCGTTCAAGGCCGTGCCATTGATCCACTCCCAGCCGTTATCCCTCATTCCCAGCCCGATCCAGTGGTTTGCTTCGCCTTTATAGCGCAGAAGGAAGGCCTGGAAGGCAAAGAAATGTTGGCTTTGGCCAGTCTTGCCTTCCCCACCTCCTCTTTCCCTCCTGTGTCCACCCCCAGCCAGACCTGGGGCTTTTCCCAAGGGGTTGGCTCCCGGCTCCAGCACTGGCAGCACTTTGGGGCCAGCCTGGGGGGTTTGGGGCTGGTTTTATCCTCTTGGTTTCCCTGTGTTTCCCACCCCGGTGCTGCTGCAGAGGCTCAAGCCCAGTCCTCACCAGTTCATCCCAGTCCTCACCAGTTCATCCCAGTCCTCACCAGTTCATCCCAGTCCTCACCAGTTCCTCCCTCGTGCTTATGGTGGCCAGGGAAGCTCCCAGGGCCTCACACCTTTCCTGGCCCATGGTCCAGTTGCCCTCAGGCTCAGAAAAATAATAGCATTTTCCTTGGAAACCAGGTCAGGTGTCTGGGCACACGTGGGAGAATTCCGGCTCAGAGAACTGGCATCTCACACTGAGAACTGAAACACAGAAAGCTGAGTCAGACACGTGGGCAGCCCTGAAAAGCAGCAAAATGGGATTGATTCCTTGTTGGTTTTTTTTTTTTCTAGCAAAGGAGATTGGGGGATGATTGTCTTGGGAAAAGGAATGTTGTGACCAAGCGAGGAGCAGGTGCCTGGACCAAAGAGCAGGAAAAAAGGGAGTCACCCACTTTGGGAGCCTCCCTTGATGCCAGGAAGGTCCTGGAATCCTCCCCGTGAGGGTGCCTGGGTGGGACTCACCAGTCAGTGCCATGAGCAGGCTGAAGGTGAGGATCCCCAGGGACACACTCAGAGCGAGAACAGGCACCTTGGGGGATGTTCTCCAGTCTGACTCGGTTCTGTAGGACCCTGGGGCAGGAAAGAGCAGGGTGAGGATGGCCTGGCTCCTCTCCCCTCTGCTTTGCCCTCCTGTGCTGGACCCTCAGTCCATCCCCAACCCCACCCAGGCCCATCCAGGGACACCTCTGGGGGCTCAGGAGTCCTTCAAAGCCACTGATGTGTTTGAGGCCCTGGAGACGGATCTTCAGCCTCCAGAGGTGAATTCCACAGCATGGAATTCAGTGCAGCTGTGCCTGGGCTGCTCCACACCCACCCAAAGGCTCCATCCCCATCCCACTGGTGCCGCCCCGGAGTGAGATGCTCTTCCTACCCTCTGCCCTCCCTCGGAACGTTTGGGGTTTTCCCAGCATTACCCCATTTGCACTGTTTCTCTGGATGGCCGTAGGTGTACAATGTTTCTTCCTGGATTGAAGAATTTGGCTCTTGGATTCCCTTCCCCATCGTGGCACAGAAGTCTCAGGGCCCAGGGCTGACATTCCCTGGGCTCTGTGGGGTGGATGCATTCAGCAGCCTGGGGTGGAAGGAGAGGAGAGGCTGAGGGGACCTGCAGGCAGCTGAGACCCCCTGGGCCACAGCCCAGCCAGCCACAACAGCCCCTGTGGGGTTGGCACTGGCTCTCAGCGTTATCTTGGTGCCAAGGGGCACCATCGGACAGGGCTGAACCCACATCTGGGAGAGGAGGCAGCACAAAGGACAGAGGGAGGGGAGGGGAAAAGGTAAGGAAGGGAAAGAGAGGGGAGGGTGAAAGATTAAAGAGGAAAAAACAACCCCAACAAATTAAGCAGAAAGGAAAGAGAAAGACAAGTTTAAAAGCACTTTAACTATTAAATAAATAAGTCATTGAGAGCTCGCAGGTCAAAGGCAGCTGAAGTGTTTGCAGGGGACAGGAGCCCATTCAGGGCTCAGAAGAGGCACCGAGGGCTCGGAGCACAGTTTGTGCTTTGGGGGCCCTTTTGCAAAAACACACAGGGTGGAAAATAGCCTGTGACAGTTCACAGCACCTGTTCTGCTTGGGTTTTCTGTTTGTGGTTCCCCACAAGCTTGTTTTGCTCACAGGAAACCCTGCTCTGGTTCCTTTGCTCACAGGAAACCCTGCTCTGGTTCCTCCTCCCGTGTTGCAGGAGCACAACCTGGTTCCCCAGACCCCAAACCAACAGGGGCAGCAGCTTTTGGTCCTCTGGGGTCTTGTGTAAGTTATTACCAGCACCAAACGTACCAACAGAAGCTCATCAGGAACGTGTCCTGACAAAACAGCAATATTTCACTGCAAAAGTCAGCTCTGAAAGCTGCAAAGGGGCAGGTTTGATTGCTGGTGAATAGATGTGAAAAAAGCACAAAGCAGTTCCCTCAGAGGGGATTTGCAGGAGGAAACTCAAGGACCTGCTCAGATAACAGCGTTTCCAGAGCAGTGGGAGGGTTAAATTGGTAGGAGAAAGGAACAAACACAGGATGAGCCAGAAGGGGGTGGTGCTTCAGCACCCTGGGAGTTTCCAAAGTGACAGGACAAGGGGCAGACCTTGCCCAAGCTCTGAGCTGGATCTGAGCCCAAAAGTGGGGGAGGGATCGTTAGATATGAAGGTTTGTTATTTCAGAAACTTAAATATCAGGTGCCTGGAGCTGCTTGACATGGCAGAAGTCTCAGTGCGCAAATTCCTCCCCCTCATTTCAAGCCACAATTTCAGTCCTGCTTTAATTTCTGCCTCACAGTGACAACTGAACAATTCAACAAATTCCCTTAAAAAGACCCCCAAAGGTTCACCTTGTAAGACCCCACCTGGTGCAGCCCGAGCTCCTGCCCAGGTTTAATCCCTCCCAAACCCAATTCTGAGCCAGAAACCAGTGGGCTGGTGAAGGTTTTAACATTTGCAAAACTGAACTACCAATTTGAATCTAAAAGAGACCCAGTGCAGTTACTGATTCACCCACTCCCACCATCATTTTTGCTCCTTTATGATGACTAATTTCTGCCTCCCAGTGTGACTGTACAAATTCAACAAATTCCCCTAAAAGGACCCCCGAAGGTTCACGTTGTGAGACCCCCCCTGGTGCAGCCCAAGCTCCTGCCCAGGTTCAATCCCTCCCAAGCCCACCGTGGTTTCCAGCTGGTTCGCTCCAGCTCCCCCCAAAATCACTGTTCATTCCACTCAACTGAAACAAATTAATGTCCTTTTTATATCATTATTTACCTCTTTTCACCACGATTTTCTCATTTCTCTTCCTGAGAAGCAACCCCTGTCAGCAACAAGGGGCTGAAAAAAACCCAACAAATTCACTGAAGAAGCTCTTACAAGGCAGCAAAAATGACAAACCAGCATACCCCGCAGCAGACACTCAAACCAACCCCATGGTAGCAAAAGCTGTAAAACTGTGACCTTTGGTGTTTACTCCTCCCTGCCCTTCAACGTGCCACGTTTAATTAATCAGGTGGTCATTGCAGCCCCCCCAAAGACAAGACCATGATGTGGGGGCTCAGCCCTGTCCCAGCCGTGGCTCACTGTGGGCAGGGAGCACCCACCACCCCGAGTTTGGCAGCCCGGGGGCTGCTCTGGAGTACTCACCTCGCAGGGCAGCTGTCAATGGGTGGCTGATTTCTCGGAACTGAGTCTGTTGAGCCACAGACAGGACGGGAGTCAAACACAGAGGCGTGGTTTTCAGTTTACAGCTCTTTGGCTGTTTTGCTGTTCTCCAACAACTCTCAGTGTGGTTCATTTTTGAAGGAACAAAGTCCATTTTTTGCACCTTGCTTACTTACAAATATTTAAGAGTTCCCAACCAAGGGATCTGTGATGGGCTGGCCCTGGTTGGTGCCAGATGCTGCTCTGTCACCCCCCTCCTCACCCGGGCAGGGGACAGAATTATTCCAAACTGTCACCTCGTGAAAGCTGCACAGTTTGGAGCCAGAAGAAATGAGAAGCTCTTGGGGATGTATGACCAGCATTGTGACATCTGAGAAACCCAGGGGGAGGCTGTTGGCTGAAGGGGTCCCACGTGGTTGCTCATAAGGCTGGGATGGAGGCTCTGCACTTTAAATACCATAAAAGATGGACCGGAATGCACCCAACCAAGCACAAATATTGACATAATAGTACTTATGACCTTGTTATACAGCCTTTCATTGCCAAGGGGAATTATTTCCGTGAAGAAAAGCTCAACAGTCGTGATGAGGGAAGTGGGGAAAGGTATCTCAGGATTGTACCCAGTGGCTCCTGCCCCGGCAGTTTGGAGCCCAGGGGCACCGAGCGCTGGCACAGCCCATTTGTGTTACTGCTTGTAAAATGTGCCGGGGACTGGCAGGAAAAGCAGCTGCGCGCGTCGAAACTGTTTCCCGGCATTTCTTGGCTCCGCGGGGGCGTTAAAATCGCTGCGAGGGGTTCCCACCGCCCACGTCTGAAAGAGCCGCAGCGAGCGTGGGAACAGAAGAAAAGACAAGAAATAGAGTAAAACAGAATAAAAGGCTGCACCGAGGGGTCCCCCCGCCCCGTGTCACTGAACGGGCGGTGTCGGGGGTGGCCAGAAGGGCTGCGCCGAGCGGGGTGGGAGCTGTGAATAAAATATAGAAAATAGAATTAAACGTGACAGCAGAGCCGCGGCGGTGCTGCAGGAGCTGCCCGGAGGGACAGACAGACCCTGCCTTGGCTCGTGGGACCCACCCCCTGTCACTGAAGAGCTGCGACGAGGGGCGGGCGAGGAGCGGCGGCGGCGAAAGAGCCGCCCCGGGGCGGGGAGATGGGGGGGTTGAACGGAAAAAAAAGAGAGAGAAGGCAATAAAAGACCCGCACGGGGGGTGACCGAAACAGCGGCACCGGTGGGAGGTGGGAATCGGGGGGTTGTTCGCAACCGGCTCCCCCGGAAAGTGAATTTTACAAGTCATTTTTAGTTTTTATTCTTTTCGCAGTTCGATTTCTCCTCCGCCTCCCCCCGCCGCCCTCGCCTCGCCCACCCAGGGCGACTTTCCCCGGCCGCGGTCCTGCCCCTGTCCCGGAAGCTGTCCCGTGGGTGCCGAACCCGCGGGAATCGGGATTTTCTCCCGCATTAACGGTGGGTTTTGGGTGCGATGGAGATTCTCAGATCCGGGCGGACTCCGTCTGGCAGATCCACTGCAGCCCCGTGTCGCAGGCGCGGGGGTCGATCCTGTCCCCCTTGAGCGCCCCGCAGGCTCCGGGACCCTCCCCGAGGTCCTGCGGGAACCTGCGTGTGCGGGAGGGGGCCCGTGTCATCCCCGGGGGGCCCTCGGGGGACAGGGGGGTGCCCACCCCGACCCCCCAGCGCTCCTCACCGGCTCCAGTCCGGGCGGGAGCCGTTCACCCACGTCCAGCCCATCCCGGGCGCGGGCACCGAGAGCCCGATCCAGAAGTGGCGCGTGGGTTTCCTCAGGGTCTCATTGAGGGAATCCTGGCCCGGGGAAAGGGGCAGTGGTGGCGCTGCCGGGCCGGGGATGGTCACCCTAAAATAGGCTCCGTCCTCACCCCGGGACCGAGCCAGACCCATGTCCCTCCCCCCGGTCTGCCACGGGCACCGCGGGGAATGAGGGGTGTGATCCCAGGCTTCTGGGGAGCCCTTCGCCCTCCCCTGGGGTGCCTCCAGCCCCTCTGTCCCCTTGGTCCCTTCACCAGCTCGTCCTTGTCCCACGGCATCGCCATCGCGGCCCCGCGGTCCCCGCAGTCCTCCCGGCTCCCGTGCCACGAGTTCATCCTTTCCGAGACCCAGTAACACTTGGTCCTGCCCAGCATCCAGCCCACGGGGCAGAGCCTGCACCCCTCGGCCTCTGTGGGACAGACAGACAGACAGACAGACAGATGGACCCTGGCGCGCTGAGGTACCGTGGGAGGACAGGGGGAGGCTCCAGCCTGGCTTAAGTTTGGGGAGGGGGCATCGATGGGACCCCCGGGGGGTGGGGGGTTACCTCGCAGGGGGCACAGGATCCTCCTCAGCTCCCTGAAGGTGCCGTCCAGGCTGGCACAGGGGGGTCCCAGGGAGGTGTTCCCCCACCCCGAGGTCGCCTCGGGCTGTGCCCTCTCTGCCACCCACCAGGACACTGGGACAGGAGGTTGCCCAGCCCGGTCAGGGGCACTGGGGGGGGTGGGAAGGGGCAGAGGGGTCCGGGTGCCCCTTCCCACCCCCCAAACTCACCACACAGCACCAGGGACAGCGCCAGGGCAGCCGTGAGGGCCCCGAGGAGGCAGCGGGGACGGTGCGGGGGGGCTGTGGTGGGGACCCCCCGGGGTTCTGGAAAGCCAGATCCTACAGCTGGGGGGTGGAAAAGAGCACCCATCACCTCCTCACCCACCCAGAGCCCGGGGCAGGGGGTCCTGGGGCAAAGCACCCTGGTGAGACCCCCCCCAAACCCCTGCAGCCCCCCCTGCCCAGGAGCAGGAGGAGCTGGGTGCCCCCAAAACATCCCTCTGCTCCCTCTGTTGGGGGGTCCCAGCTCGGAGGGTGGGACAGCAGCCAAACACAGCCTCGAGAAAACCCCCCAGCCCCTCCTCCCTCAATTCCTGCCTCAGTTTCCCCACCCTGAGCAGCTCTTGGGGACCCCAGGGGTGACATCACCCCACCCCCAGCACCCCCCCCCGAGTCCCTCTTCCCCCCCCGATCTGGGGGGGGCCAGCAGACACGACCCCCCCCAGTACCTGCCCCCGGGGAGGACGGGGGGCTCCCCGCAGCCCCTCGTTTCCTCCACTGCTCTAAGGCCGTGTAGCCGTCCTGGTCCTCCATGTCCCGCCGCTCAGCGCCGGGGACCCGCAGTGGTCACAGGAGGAAGGGACAGGAAGCCAAAGCGCCGCTGCCCCCCCGGGCTGGTGTGAACAGGCAGCGGGTTCGGAGCTTCCTGTACCCAAACCAAAGCCCCACAACTGCTGGGGGGACTCGTCCTGACGGTCCCTTGAGGGGTGGGGGGGTCGGGGGTCTGTGCCCAGAGGAAGGAAACCCACGGGAAGGGACAAGGAGGACAAGGAGCCACAGCACGAGGTGCTGGGAGAGAGAAACCACTCCTCACACCCCCCTCCTAAAAATGGTGAAAATAAGAGATCAAGGTGTTGATCGAGATCTCTAAGAGATAAGAATCAATAAAATATCATCAAAAGGAGAGCAAAATGAGAGAATTGCTGAATAAAGCACCAGTTCTGTCCAAAAATAGACGCAGTTTCACGGAGCTCATGCCTGGTTTTCCCAGCCATGTCTGTAGGGTAACATCGGCTCAGCAGGAAGCCCCACTTCTCTTGACCTCTAATGAGGAGCAATTTTATTAGGCTAATTAGCCACTGATGAATTAGTCCCTGATCTCCTTTTTTTCTCTGCCAGGCACAGGCCAGCCCAGGCTCCGCAGGCTGCAGGGCTGCTGCGTCCTGCTGGGGCTTGACCCATCGGTTTTATTTGCCCCAAAAAGGGAAAACGGCCCCGAATCCCTTTGCTCGAGTGGAGGAGGGGGAGAGAGTTCGGGCAGAAAACTCCAAAAATCCGTTTTGCCCAGCCTGGGAAGAACAAACCACCCAGAAGTGAGGTGGGACCTCCCAGCAGCCCTTGTGTGCCGTCTCCCCCCCGAAGCCCTCCCCGGGGTGCTGGAGGGTGACTGGGCACACTGGGAGCACTGGGAAGGGGCTCAGCCTCCCGTCACCCCCGGGAGCTCCAAGGCTCCGAGAGCCGGGATGGAACGCGGCGGAGGGAGAAGGGGAAGGGACAGGGCTACCGGCGCTGGACGGGGCACGAGGGACAGGTGGGGAAGGCAATAAACAGTAAAACGATGACGAAAGAAAAAGCTCGGCGGCGGCGAAAGGGCCAGTGAGTCACACACGTCCCGTTTCACACCCACACGGCAGAGCCAGGGAGGGAGATCGGAGAACAGCCAATGGGAAGCGATGGAGAGCCCCCGACAGCCAATGGGAAGCGATGTGTCCTGATGTCAATTAAACCACACTGAGAAGCTGCTGGAGAAGAGCAAAAAACAATTGAAATTGTGTCAGTTGCGGAGTTTGTTTCCTAGTTTATGACTAAACCGACCCTACCGCGAAATCTCACAGTCACTGAGAGCTGCCCTGCGAGGTGAGTTCTTGAGAGCAGCTCCTGGGCTGCCAAACTCGGGGTGGTGGGTGCTCCCTGCCCACAGTGAGCCACGGCTGGGACAGGGCTGTATAACAAGGTCATAAATATTATTATGTCAATATTTGTGGTTGGTTGGGTGTATTCTGGTCCATCTTTTATGGTATTTAAAGTGCAGGGCCTCCATCCCAGCCTTATAGGCCAGCAGCCACATGGGACCCCTTCAGCCAAAAACCTCCCCCCAGGTTTCTCAGATGTCACGATGGTGGTCATAAATCTCCAACAGCTTCTAATTTCTTCTGGTTCCGAACTGTACAGCTTTCACGGGGTGAAAGTTTGGAATAATTCTGTCCCCTGCACAGGTGAGGAGGGGGTGACAGAGCAGCATCTGGCACCAACCAAGGCGAGCCCATGACATCTCACTTGGTTGGGAACCTTTAAATATTTTTAAGCAAGCAAGGTGCAAAACAAATGCCTTTGTTCCTTGGATGAATCACACCAGGATCTGCTGGAGAACAGCCAGTACTGCCCGATTTGTAAAAGTATGAAACATTCCCCCATGGCTTTGCAAGGGAACAGGCCAGAGAGCTGTAAAGTCAAAACCAGGCCTCTGTGGTTGACTCTCCTCCCCAGCTCAGTGGCTCAAATGACTCAGTTCAGAGAAATCTCCCACACATTGAGAGCTGCCCTGTCAAGGTGAGTACTCCAGAGCAGCCCCTGGGCTGCCAAACTCGGGGTGGTGGGTGCTCCCTGCCAAGTAAGCCGCGGCTGGGACAGGGCTGAGCCCCCACATCATGGTCTTGTCTCTGGGGGGGCTGCAATGACCACCTGATTAATTAAACGTGGCACATTGAAGGGGAAGGGGAGAATAAACCCCAAAAGTCACAGTTTTACATCTGGGTTTGGTGAGGCTTTTGCTGCCATGGGGTTGGTTTGAGTGTCTGCTGTGGGGTTGGGCTGGTTTGTCATTTTTGCTGCTTCTTCAGTGGTTTTGTTGGGTTTTTTCAGCCACTTGTTGCTGACAGGGTTGCTTCTTGGGAAGAGAAATGAGAAAGTCGTGGTGAAAAGAGGCAAATAACGATATAAAAAGGACTTTAATTTGTTAAACAGTGATTTTGGGGGGAGCTGGAGCAAATCAGCTGGAAAACACAGTGGGCTTGGGAGGGATTGAACCTGGGCGGGAGCTCGGGCTGCACCAGGGGCGGTCTTACAACGTGAACCTTTGGGGGTCCTTTTAAGGGAATTTGTTGAATTGTTTTGTTGACACTGTGACGCAGAAATTAAAGTAGGACTGAAATTTTGGCTTGAAATGAGGGGGCTGAACTTGTGCACTTGGACTTCTGCCATCTCAAGATATGACTTCTTTTCATTTCTGAACTTTGTCCTGTTCAGCTTTGGAAAATCTGAGGGTGCTGAAGCACCACCCTCTTCTGGCTCATCCTGGTTTTGTTCCTTTCTCCTACCAATTTAACCCTCTCACGGCTCTGGAAATGCTGCATCTGAGCACTCCTTGAGTTTCCTCCTGCAAATCCCCTCTGAGGGAACCGCTTTGTGCTTTTTTTCACATCCATTTACCCACAAACAAATCT